GGCAGCAGAAGCTTCCAAACAGATCGTATGGCCAGTATATTGTACAAAAGGGAATGGATATGGAACAAATGGAAAAGTATCCTATATGACATAATCTAAATTTTGAAATCGTTCTTTCAAATGTTCATACGTTCGGTGGACCAACGGCCACGACCTGAAGCAAAATATGAAATCTCAAGCGCCCGGGTCTACATCGTCAACTCTCACGCAGCTGATAAATTCAACCAGCTGTTGGCGGGAACACGCACAGCGCATGTCAAAGTCACCTTGGGCTTCAACGCGATGAGTCTGCCAGGAGTAGGCTCAATGTCAACCTGTTGGCACAACACACAATTTTTTGAAGAAAATATTTTTTGGAGGTTGAAAAAACACATTTTTTGCCGAAGGCCTCCCACACTACTGAAGCCCTCTTGTTGGAAATTACCTTGTCCATGTTGCCCACAAAGCAAGCTCCAATCGTGGAATGGCGCCAGTCCGGTTGCTCACCTTCCCCGATAGCATTCGGCTTGAAAACGTTCGTCACGTGTGAGTCCACTGGTTTGAGCGCGTAACGGAAGCACACAGGGGTTTCTCCATCCTGCGGACATTCGAGATGGTTGGCTTCCAAATACTAAGATTAAAATTGTCCTTTATGTTGCAAACCCAAAGCAAAAAATGAAAAACGGTGAACGGAAAACACGTTCCACATCCAACTGAAGTTCCTCGCAGAGCCTTGGAGACAGAACGTGGTCAGGCAGATCAACTTCCGACAGCCCATGATCCGTAGCCAGTGTTCGGAGGTATTGGCACAAGGGTGTGATGCGTTTGTTGTAGGACACCAGTGCAAGGTCGTCGACGAGACGCCAGGCCACTCCGTGAATCTCAGTGGTAAGGTCACCTTATTATGCTTAAAGGTGTTCAAGACAATGATGCCAAAAAAAGAACTAACATCTCTTCATGGTATTAAAACATTATAAAACATAGAATTGAAACTTGGAATCGAAAACATTGAATGCATTCTGACTCAAACGAAGCAAGAGTTTGCTGAAGTTGGTCGAATGACGGATCTCCTTCTGATCAAACGTTCCTCGTCCGAAGCCAAACAACTCACCCGCGTCCAGCGCCAGCTCTGCGTCAGAGGTATTGCCAATGAAGAGTGAGAAATCTTGTGTAATGGCGATGGCAGGTTTTTTGCCAACCATAGCGCACTCAGCTCGCCTGGATTGGAACAAAAAGACAAATACAATAGATAATAATATACAAATTATAACTATCATGTTATATTTAATTTGGATTTAAACGATATAATACATTTACACAGAAAATATATGATTCCCGTCTAAGATCTCGACTTTTGGAAAATTTCGCTAAAACTTGACCTTCGTTCAAACTCCGGCCTCGGAGAAGTGAAATCACTGGCGGCAATTGCTGGAAGCTCAATGCAGCGAAGAATGTCAAGAGGCATCCGTCCGGAATCAACTTGGAAATCACAATGTCCACCTGCCCGGGCCGGAGCATTGGGCTGAGATGCGTTGCCTGAATTCAAGGGTGCTGGATGCTCCAAGTCAAAGCGTTTCTTCCAATCCTGAATCTTCTGAAACTCGGGGGATGCTTCAGTGAACCTGGTAAGCAAAGCTGCCGGAAAGATCGGGCGGCCACTTGACCATGCCAGAATCTGCAAATCTGGCGCAGCCGCTGCTCGTTCCGCAGCCAGCCTCTGAGGACGTTCCTTGGGAGGGCTTTTCAAAGGATCCTGATCCCAGGCATTGTAGATCATGGTCTTGAAGGCTCCCAAGTTGGTCTGGAAGTCGTTCAAAAGGAAGCCACAGTAATGGATCGTCTTGCCTGACTCCTTCAAGTTTCGATCAATAAGTGCACGACCACATTCGGCGAACCTGGAGCAAGGGTTCGTGTGAACCAAAATACCACATCGGAAAAAATACATACTTATGATTGTTTATGCTTGTTGAATATAGAAAAGTAAAGTATATTACATATATAATATAAAAAACAACAAATATAATATATAATATATATTACACTGGTTTCAGAGATGATGGCACAATCTCCAAGAGGTGTTTTATATGGACCCCTATCTAAACTTTCTCTTGGATTTTGTGCCATCTACTACTCTGAAACCACTATAATATATGTAATATATATATAACAAATTGGAAGAATCCCTACATTGTGAATTGAAAAGGGCTAGGTCAAGCGGAACAAAACTAAGTGGCTAATTGGCAACCAGAAAGAACCCTGACACACTTTCAACAAGCACGCCTGTTTGGCAGCACATCTACGAAGAGTAGTTTGTCCGAGTCCGCGAACTTATCCAGACCCTCCAGCAGACCATCGATCATAGCTGCGTAGCACGCAGGGCCTTTCCTTGCAACCCGGCTGTTTGTCATCAAAAAATAGAGTGAACGAAAACCCCAAACTAACAAAATTCCTTCCGATGGAAAATGCAAAGCCACAGATTACGCTAATTTGCGCTGCAAGATTTAAAGTAAGTTTGGCATTGTTCCAGGTTCATCCTCATACTACTTAGTAGTTAAATTGTCAATAGTCGGTTCGCCTCGCAACACATGTCGACATCTGAATTTTGCACATTCTGTAGTGATAATACATAGTGATTGGCACAGGCCTACTGGTTAAAACAAAATAATAAGTACAGAACCCAATGGTGGGTCCAACCATAACTCAAAACAAGATCAAGATTCTGCTCGACACGCGCAGAGGCGCCTGGCTTGGCCAGGTCTCCGTCGTACCCCAGGAAGTCTGCAATTCGAAGTAAGGGACAGGGACCCAGCTTTCCCTGCCGAACAGCAACACTCTTCTGTTGAAACTCATTCTGCGCAAAATGGGTGTGGAAGCACGCCATAGCTGGTTGGGGCAGCGGTCGATTGTCCCGCGCTGTCGAGTCCGGCTTGGAGAACAACACCTGCACGTGGTTCACAAGCGTCACACCTCCTTTGACCAAACTGTTGTCAAGGAGGTGCTTGCGCTTCACAAGGGCGTTGGCAGTCGTTTGCGATTGGAACTGGGGATAGAGCACAAAGCCAATCATGTTCGACGACATGGAGAGAAGGGTTGTCAGTGTCTGCACTGCTGCTTGCAAATGAGGACCATTTGCCGGGAACACCGTCGTGTCCAGGAAGCAAATGATGTACCTGGACTATAGTAATGTCCGGCTTCATAGATTTAAAGTTGGTCCACCAGTCATGTTTGCAAAGCAAAGATGGAAAACACACATATATCATGGAACTGAACATAATCATTTCCATGGGCAAGAAAGCTTACAACGAAACCGTGCAAGTCACTGGTCCGTTGCTTGTCGGAACTGCTCCTTGAACTTCAGAAAAGACTGCACTGCAGATGTCATGTTCTCCGAACAATCCACGAGCAAGCAATGCGTTGCCATCCACTGATCCACGAATTCCTTGCCCTTCCTCGGGCATGGGAGGGCAAAAGAAAGACGAATTACAAATGTGATTAGACAGGAAAACACATCACAAAAAAGGAAGATCACTAACATCATATCTGATAGGTTCAATGATGAACTGTTCCTGTAAGAAGGATCTTTTCTTAGAACAATATAATCTTATGATTTCCACCAATCTGATTTGGTCAGGACACACTTGTCTGTCACGAAGATATTTCATATCCAACGCGTGTTCCGCTGCCTCTTGGGAGGGATTGGGCCTGGACATCTCCAAGAGCTCGAAATCGGCTGTGAGCTTGGCGTGCAAAGCATTGTAGTCGGCTTGTCTCAAATCTTGAGCAAGCCTTGCCTCCTTTTCTTCCTTCTCGGTCCGAAGGTTTGCAGCTATCTTGGCAACCAGCGGCCTTCACATGGATCAAGGATGATTGCATTTGGCTTTGGGAAGAAACACAATAGAATCACCAATGAACCCCAGAAGTCTCATCCTTTTGGCATAACATAAATGATGCGTCAACAAAAAATCAGAAACCCCAAACCCAAACATTGACAAATCCAACAAAGATTCAACGCACAAAGCTGGTGTTTCCCAACAGGAGCCATCAGTATGAAATTGAACAAAATGAAGTACATCTCGCTATCATCTGTTTGATGAACTGACTGACTGGAAATACGTGCAATCAGTCAATCTGGCACCTGAATGCGGCCACGGACTTGATGTCTCCCGGCGGGACTTGCAGAGTCAGGATGTGGCAAAGGTCGGGGTCCAAAAACCCTTGGTTGAATTGATTCAACAAGTTTTCCTTGCTCTCATCAAAGAAGGATGCTGGTGCCATTTGCTGGAATGCCTTCAAGAAGTGAAGGAAACAGCCTGTGGACTGATGAATGATGACCGCCTCCTTGAAAGTAATTGCCTTCCGGAGGCTCTTCGCAGACTTGTCGAAGTCACCAATCAAGCGCGTCACAAACGCGTCAACCTTAGGCTCGCCAGTCAGTCAGTATGGAAGAAAACTGCATCAATGATTGCAACAAAAAAAGACTTCCTTCATTCAAAAAATTGGAGAAGCATGACAAGCAACAAGCTGTCCATCCTCTCGGTTTCGGAGTTGGTCCTTCCAACTTTCAGATTCTCCACTGGCCGAAGTAAAGTTGGTTGAGAACAGGCCGTTGCTGATCACATCGTGATGCAAGAACTTCAGCATTCCACGGGCACGGACTGCTTCAGAAAGACGCTCCGTCACCTCCTTCTTCACGGTCGTCATCAAGGCTGACACAGCCTCGGACTCGGCCTTTCCAATGCTGAAGGCTTTTGCGATGCCACTAGCTTTGCTCCATTCCTGGAATGTGCTGGACCGGGGTCAGTCTCCGGAATTCCGAGTAGCAAGAAACAAAAGAAGACTGAACTGATAGAATCACATTTTTTGAAGATATGGCGCATCCAAAGCACAACCACAATCTATGAGTCACAGGGCCCATCAGGAAAATCATAGTCATAGTATATTATATAGAAATATATAACCAACTGAATTTAGACAAAGTCGCTGCAAACTGTCGCTCTGCTGAACCGCCACCAGCTCTCTGCAGTATGGTCACTTGTCGAAGAAAATGAAAGCAATTGGGACGAGCGCGTGTTTGAGTGCTTGCTAAGCCAGCGCCTTCCATCGGTGTGCCACATTTTTTGAAAAACCCATTAGACCCCAGAGCTTGACACGCAACACAGTACAAAATGGACTGAGGCTTTGAAAAGTCTGATTGCAAGGCCTCTGTTGGCATAGACCTGGGCTCTCACATCTTTGTAGGCGGTGAACGCGCAATGCACTGTGGCAAAGGTGGCCTCCATAACCATAACGGCACAATCTGCCAATTCAATGTTAAAAGGAATTGCTTCATCTTCAACCATCTATATTGTTCCAAAATACTCATCACAGATCGAAACACAACTCGGTGATCAAACTTTAAAAATTCGGCGACCGATGGATGGCCTTGATGCGATGCTGAATCGCATCAGTCAGGCCGAGTTCACGTATTCCCTGCAACACGATCAAAGCCATGACAGATCGTTTCCATCCTTTGCAGTATCCAACGCTGAAAGGCGGAAGGAGGCTCCCACCTGCCAGCAATTTGAATGAATAGTAAACCAAAATGAAGATCGAAAATGCCATGAACTTGACAACCAAAAAAGGACCTCCAATGGTGGAAGGAAGTTCCTCATATTTGGCATCCAAATATTCGTTGGGAACCTGGCAGACTGAGATCTTTTCCGTCCCAGGAAGATCTGGGTCGGTCATCAGCCTGAAGCGGAAAAACTTTTTGACGTTCAGGCTGAAGAAACTGTAAAACTGTCAAGAGCCAGGAAACCCTTCAGAGCACATCAACTCTAAGATCTTCGACGCGTGTTCCGGTTCTAAATAACCTGAACATCCAAAATCGGCTCTCCACGCTAGTTGCCACGGCCGGCAATATTGTGCTCCATCGGCACTTGAGGCGTAGAGATACCTCTCGGAAACTACAAGGAACAAACCTGTCCAAAATTGCAAGCAGTTTGATAACTGCGCCATCACAATGGCACACGCCTGGGGTCTGCCGGAACAAACTGCTCAATCCATTCTGCGAAGTCGAGCTTCTTCACCTGTATGAGAAACTCAAGGGTACGGTATGGACATAGTAAAAATTCCAACATTGTGATGATATATCGTGATCATCCGTGATCTCTATAGCATTGTGTTGGGCCTGGGTGTCGTAGATGGATGACAAGTACTTGTCGGGGCCCCCTTTCGGAAACACATGGTCATTGAGCCTCAGGGTGGGAGCGAATCAAAGCACCCTGAAACTATTCCAATGCTGAAACAAATAGTGTCTTCGCATAGTAAGGAAAACAAAGATGACAATAAGTTTAGATGCCCTTTCAATGGCCAGAAAACCTTTACCTATCAATCCCATTGGACACAAATTCAACAAATTAACAGTCCAGGCACCATGCCACCAACTGAGGAATATGCGGGTTTTCGTCCACCTTGTCCGAAGAGGCTGATTTCAGGAGTTTTTCCTTCTCCTTTCTGGAATCTCCAGCCGACTTGCGCTTCGCCCCCATGGCTGAGAGGAAGTCTTCACAAATCTTCCCAGGGCCCAAAAGGTCTTTGGAAAGGACATTCTTGGAATCCAAATCCGAGGAAAGTAAACCCGAATAGAATTTAATTGTAGCTCTGTTTGAAAATCCGCCACTTCTCAATCTTGAGAATCCGTCACTTCTGAAACTTACAAATCCGTCACTTCTCCTAATTCCGAAATCCTAAACTTCTCAACTCTCCATGAAGAAGAAAATCATTGCACACAGAATCCGTCACTAAAGATCATGGTTAAATGCAGCTGCTTTAGTGACTGATCTTAGGTAGGATCCGTCACTTCTGGACCAACAAAAACCGTCACTAATTAGAACAATCAATCCGTCACTAAGCTTCACAACCAAATCCGTCACTAATGCAACCGTAAAATCCACCACCAGATTCCAAACCAGATTTGGATAAAACAATATAATTTGAAGAGCGGTAGCATTGGTCACTCTGAGGGGCTTGGGTTCCAACTACCCAAAGAGACCAATCCTAGGTAAGATCGGTCACTTGGAATCTGTTTTCAAACACTTGACCAGGTCATCAACTTTCGTCAAAAATGCAACCTTCACTTGACACACCTGAATAGTGACCAATCCTAGGTAAGATCGGTCACTTCCAACCCCTTGTTAAAACAGACCTATAAGAGACCAATAGCTCAAACATAAAGTGACTGATACCTAACTTCCGCTGCCGCACCCGAATTGCCGTAACGTTTAGGGTTTAGGGTTGCGAAGTTTTGAAAAATTAGATCTTCCGTTGAGATATTTCGTTTCTGACTGCCGCTGCCGCACCCGATTTGAAAACCGTAGGGCTTTGGGTCTAGGGTTGCGAAGTTTTGGGAAATTACCATGTTGATACCGCCATAAACTCACAAGTCAGACCCTTTTCTACACCATGTCTCTCAATCATCTCAATCAGCCTCAACCGCGGCCTTTGCCGCGGCCTTTCCCTCGACCGCGGCCTTTCCCACGGCCGAGTCTCCTGACCGCCGCTGGATCTCGAAGACCGGCCGCTGCCACAGCATCTTCCGAAATTTTCAGCGCCTCGTCCCATGGGACACCGAGCTTCCAGGCTGAAGCTGCTGCTTGAAGAGCTATCGAGGTCTTAGATCGCTGAACGTAAAGTTTCCGCTCCTTCGCACCAGCTGATTCCAACCTGGACCGGACTTGGCAGGTTTTTTGAATAATAATAACACAATACATTCAGGCCATAATTATTTAAATAGTTCCGGGTAAAGTACAAAACATGTTATGATACCACAAGAGACCTCAGAAGATTTTCCCGGATAGTAAATGGATCCGCTTCCATGCCAAAAGCACGATGTTGCACTCCTCTGGGACCAGGACGGATGATGCACCTCAGGGACACATTAAATAAACATGTGTGCGATCATGAGTTTCCATCACACATTATCCTTAAAAACAACCTCTTTGAAAACTGAAAGCTAAAGTGCTTCCCAACGACGCAGAAATATCCAGCAAAGGTATCTTGGGCAAAGTTCCATTTACAAAATTGTCCAGCCAGTCGGCTGCTCTCTCCAGACCATAAAGCGGTTGCTGTAACAATGGAATGAACTTCTTGATGTGATTTGAGTATTCCACACCAAGATCACGTCTCGGACAAAGTACTGAGCAGGGCAGCGCTCGCTTGGCGGGTGTGTCTGGTTTAAGCGGTTCTTTAGGGCTTTAAAGCTCAATGAAGAGGTTATGTTTCTTTTAAGACTTTCTCGATCTTCGAGGATAGTTAAACAAAAGAATGTCCTTGAGGGAAACCGAGTGGAACTCTTTGCAGCGCAAGAAGACGTGGAAAGTAGAGAACGCATGATGAAAAATCCGGGCTGGCCATCCACCGCCGGGTCCTGCATGGTAGCGATCACTACGTGATACCTTAATGAATTGAAAAATAGAAACAATAGTCTTGATTTATTTAATTCAATTATCATCCATAGACCAAACACCTTGAACGCTGTTAATCATTTTGTTTAGTCTCAGTGTACACCCCAACAGGAAAATTGACAGCCTCAGTCCTCAAGACTACATCCTGTGGATGCTCATCGTACCCCCAGTATTTGTTCGAGATGACTTCGCCGGCAAGGCTCTCATCAGACCTGCGATGAAATGTGAACTCATGCGGAGCGCCAGGACCTCCAATACCAACAATGTTGACCGGAACGGCGCCAGAGTGAAATCCACGCCTGAAACCGCAATATCTTTAAGTTGCCAATAGACACCATAATCACGTTAGTTTGAGAACTCTAAAAAGGATTGTCCCCGGTTCTCTTTGATGGAATCTCAAAACAAAAATCGTTGCTTTGATAATGGCTAAGCTTCCAATCACGCATGTCGTTCATGCAAACAGTGTACCGTGCTGCCTCATGCGGTCGGTACATGTCAGCTGCGAATCCTCTGATTGACCGAGCAAAGTCCTCTTGAGTCTGGGCAATGCGAAGCTTTGCTAGATGCCTGGCCAAGCGCCCGAAAACCTGATCCACGTCTTCATGTGAGTGCCCTGTCCGTAAGAATCTTACGGACAGGGCACCCACATTTCCACTGCTCACTTGACAAGCGCAGAATCGTAGAAAATGGTTGTTTTTTACCTCTCGACATGTGTTATCTGCTTGAATGTGAATATGGGCTTGCCCCAATTGCATGCCATGTGTGCTCTGCAGCAAAGAAAGCGCGTGCGCTATGGTCTCTATGGACGCATCTGAGTTCTTCTGCGTGTCGGGATTGGATAAAGTGAACAGAAGAAAGAAGCCGTGGACTATAGTAAGTGATATGCGCAACTTCGGCTTCTGCATCGTGGAAAAATCCTTGCCAAACATGACGCTGCTGCGTGGCAGGGCCACTTTTGATTGGTCGCCGTCCTGTATGATACATATGTTGTTGGTGTCTTTCCTCCTTGATTTACCTCTGAGATCATAATACACCAAACGGTCCGAATACTGCTCCCGGAGGTGTTGCCAGTAAAAGTCTCGTTGCTGATTCCTGGCGCGTAAATGATGGCCGAGGTGTTTCACCATATGCCGATGGCGTATGCATTGTTGACATTGAGCGTGTTGGCTGCTTGCTCTGATTTGTAAAAAACTGAAGTCTGCCAACCAAACCTTAGAACAGTGACTGATATATATTTTATTTGTATATTGTTATGTTAGGATTTAATAACAACTATCTTCACGTAGTGATGCTTTCAAAGGCCAACTTCGACATCAACATCAAGCGGCTTGAAAAAACATACTTAATGCTCAACAAGAAACACGCCAAAAGGATGCAAAACATCCTGGCTTCTCCAAGACAGATTGGTTGCGGTACTGTTCAAAGTATTCCTTCATTGATCCAGGAGGCAACCATCTCTCCTCAAACTGTTTGGACGTTCTCTCCAAGTTGATTTCTACTTGGCCTTTTCGCTTACGTGGTTTCTTCTCCTTGTCTGGCAAGAATTCAGAATCTTGAAGCTCGTTGCGCAAAGCTTGGCTGTAAGGGTCATCCGACTCCAAAGTCAGTTGCACGAAGTTGCTGCTGTTACACAATTCGTCCCGGAAGTCCGGCAACGTTTCTGCTACCGAATCGTAGATGTCAGACAAAAAGCTGACTATGTCTGAGCGGACTTCAGATTCAGCACCTATTCGCCCTCTAGGTCTCTGCAGGTAGCGGAGGTCTACCGGCGGAGCTGCTGCATTGTCTCTGGCAGCTGTCCAAAGCTTCTGAAAGCGCTTTGTGCCTGAGCGCTTGAAAATCGGCTCTCGGAAAAAACCCAAAGTTGGCGCGGCTGCGGAAAATCACAGGCGGTGTCCCAACTTACCGCAGGAAGTCTGCATGTTTTTGAGGTATTCCAGGTCCATTGTGAATGAATTTTTGCCGCCCAATAAATATCATTTTCTTGATGATAAACAAAAGAAAAGGAAAGTTAAGGACATCCTGTTCAAACTCTTTGGTTACTGTAAACTGGCCAGGGCCAACAGAACGAGGCACCCATGGAGTGCAATCGAATCCAAGTTTTCAAGCAAACATTCATACCCAGCAGTGTCCAGGCTGTATAATGGTCCTCCCCTGATTGGGCAATCAAGGCTTTGATCCGATCGAATGCCTTAGATACGTTTGACAATCACATCATCATTCTAAGACACTTGGATCAACATCAAACCCAAAACCAAACAAACCGGATGAGTACCTCTAAGGTGCAATTCTGTCTTGATCCAATTTGTCCAAGGAATGCCATTCACGGACATATTGGCTCAATTCCGCCAACATGGTCGGTTCAAGGAATTGACGACTGCATGTCTTCTGTTTGCACGGGCAGTCATCATCCAATATGGTTTGCAACTGGGCAAAGGGGTCGACTTCTTTGCTCGGCTTGGTTTCTTTGGTCAAACGTCTTCGTTTCCTTTTCGAAATTCGTGGGCCAGGGTCTGAAACAGGCGCTGGCACACCAACTTCTTCGTCACTCAACGCATCTACGGCAGCAAACAACATGCCTGCAATGCAAAGACAACCACAAGCACACGGGCAAACTTCATTGCGCGCTCAATGACTGGAACATTGAAAGTGTGAAAACCGTTGGAAGGCAAACGGGTAAAATATAACACGCAACGGTTGGCAATGATTGGACTCTGAATCATTGAATGGCACTTGTCAATGAAAATCATTGTCAACTCGCTGTAGGACATAATCTCTAAAACAAGAAAGCTGCGTGACCAATAATCGGACAATGCGTGAAGTTTGTGTCCTTCACAACAGCACAACATGGGTATGAAAGAAAACCATGACTGGTTTCAATCTCATCTACAAAGAATGAATTCTCTCAAACTTCAATGATTGGCTGATTTCAATCGCCTGTCATTCAAAGCTGTACGAAAGAACGTGCAGTGAGAGGTTTCACTTTCCACAGGACATGCGGTCAGCATCCTGTTTGGATGAGTCGAAACTTTGCCACCGAGATCAAAAATGTTAAAAGCTAGGGCCTACTACTAAGTGTAGTTCAAAACGGAATGAGAACAGCTTCTCACGCAATCATCCGTTCCAAAGTCAACTGTGCAGCGGCGCCAGTCAAAGGTGTTGCATCACCTATCGTCAAAGGCACTAACAAATTGCTAACTATGATTTCACAAAGCAACTGAATGAACCATTGTTTCAACAGGCCTGTCTGCGAGTCCAATCGTTTCAGGCCAGTGATGAGGGCAGAATACTGCGCTACTGCAACATGGATAACAGGCATCTTGGTTTGCGCGGTTCCCGAAGGACACGGTTGAGGCTCATCATCTAAGGTGAGGGCCGGTGAAGGAACCAAACAAATACAATTCCAAGAGGTCTGGAAAGTGTTGGTGGAAATGACAGCCGATGTATCAAACCCCCTCAAAGACTCCATGTCGCTCATCTCAGGAAACAGCGCCATATTGCGCTGCAATATCCTCACACACATTGTGAATCTGATGGACAGGGCGAAAAGCGTCTCTCTCAAAGAAAAGAATGTCAAAAGCTTTAGTCAAAGCATCACTACTTTAGCTGGGACTGATTCAGACCAGCGCAGAAAGCAACACCGCTTGACATCGAGGCAATGCAGGGCACCTGGCACGACTACTAAGTAGTTTTCTGATTTTGACACTATCCTCTAAGAGTCTCTCGGCCTTCCTCAATCGTGTGGAACTTGAGAACCACAGCCAATCTCCTATCGACCACGTCCTGGCACTTGGCGGGAGCATCGGCGGTACTATGAACAAAACATTGCTAAAAGTTAAGCTTTTCAAAACAGCTTTCCGGAACATGCTCATCGTTTTTCTGTCGCGAAATAAATGCATATCCCATGCATTATGGAAACATTGTTCAATCCCGGAGATGGGGATCATTGCTCTAAAAGAGGTTGCGTCGCCTTTGCGGAAACAGGTTGGTTCGCCGTTGCGCCCAAGCACTGTTCGTCATACATCAGCTTTGTGATTTTGTGAACAAAACAGTTGAGATGCCTGGTCACACGATCATCCGGATCAAAGTTCTCACAGCGGACTCCAAGGAGGAGAGCTGCGTGGGCCAGCTGGTCAAACAGCAAGCCGCCAGGCACAGGAAGGCCACACGCAAATTGGACCACCTTTCCGATTGCACGTTCAGTGCCGGAAACCAACTGTTCCATCCAAATGTCAAACTCTTCCCAGACTGAGCTCCCAGGGTCTTCCCGCAATTCTTCGACTCTTTGATTCAGGCAGCACCGGCCGACATGCGATGTGAGCACAAGCTGCATCTCGAGGACAAAGTCAAACAATGGCTTCAGATCGTGCGTCCTCATGTGTGCTGGTAAGAAGTCCGAAAAGGAAACCCATGCCCCCAAGAAAGCCATAACCGAGACGACGTAGTCTGTAATAGCATCGGCGCCGGCATCCGAAGTTGGTTTCAAGTAATGCTTGCTGATCCTAAAACACTGAGCCTTCACCGGGCTGCTAACCATACTGGCTCAGTGTGAAAATGAAACCTCAAGAGACTCGGGCCTGAAACGCTTGGGAATCACACGCGTAAGATATTACAGTATATCCCAACATGTCCACACGTTGGCTTCTGCGGGCCTTCAAAGCGGCGCCGCTGAACACATGGAAGCCTTCGCGTCCTGCAGAAGCACACGTTTGCCAATATAGTTTTAAAAAAATAGTTTTACATATTAGAAGTGGTTCAAGTTCAACGGTTTCTTTTGGGGATGAATTATTGCATCCTCGTTTCCTAACAAGACATGAACGTTGCGAAATCGAAGAAAAGACCGATCACTATAGAGCACCCGGCCTTCAGACACAGTTGGAGGCTCCTGATGGTCTGACCCTTCTGCGTAGCAGTCAGCTGAATCCGGACCAGCTGGTGGCATTCCCAAAAAACTAGCTGAATAGGTCGGAACTGTGCTTGATCGACCAAAACAGCTTGAGAGGCAAACAAAATCACTGCTGTCAGGATCAACAATACCCCGACTATGTCATTTCTTTTTTTTAAAGCACCATTCATACATCTCTGCAATGTCCAGATGCTTTTTCTACATAACCCACGTCTAGACTCGGAAGCTTCTGGACTCGTGCTTTGAAGCAAATTACTAATTGTGGCCAGTGAACCCGTAGAGTGAAAAACAGCTCCGTCAAGATGAATACTTGAATGATGCTTGACACTTAGCAATCCAACAACACATCAAAACATAAAGCCACAATGACTTCACAACAAAACAAGTTACTTGATCAACACAAACAAGTTACCTCAAATGAGTTCACATCTGCATCAAACTGGAACTGTCAGGCTGAAAAACCGGACAGAAGCCAAGGCGAGTTGTGACTGCCAGGGCGAAACAAGAAATTGACATCTCAAACAAGACCTCAAGCCGCACACAAACTGTTCGGCTCAAGCCGCATCCTTTGGAGGATATCCATGGCCAGGGCTCCCTGAGCTGGGACCACCAGGTTGCCTAAGCATTTCATCCTTTGGCGGTGATCCATCTCCTCAGTGGCCGTGTTGATCAGCCACAAATCAATGGGCAAAGCGTTCAGTTCGTTCCAAAAGGGCTGCAAGAACGATGAGAGCGGCTGGAGCTTCACGTCCTGACGGACAAGTGCTCTGTTGCTTAAAAATTCGAAAAGGATTGCGCCTTCCACAAGTTGCAATGGGGCTTGTGCGCAAGGAAGAATACCCGGGCTCGTCCAGCCTAATAAACACATTTGACACATTTGGCTCTAAAAGCTGACGTCAACTTGAGGGCGTGACTGGAAGACCGCAATCAAAAAGACTCGTTGAGGCCCAGTGCAGTAGAAGCCCACGTTCATTGCAAGCCTGGCAATGCGCTAGCAGCAAGATACCTGTTTTACTCAATGGCTTGACAGCCCTGACCTTTACGATGTAATCGATCACACGTCTCATCTCTTTCTTTTTCTGAAGAATGGCCAGGACATTCTCCAGGAAGACAAACTGCCTGAGATTGATAATTGTTCTTTTAGTAGATTGTCATAACATAATACGCGTAATACGCGCAACACCTGGTGCAACAACAACAAGTCTTACTTGCTGACTACGGCTGGTCAAATAGCAAAATAGTCTCAGCTCAGTCTAAAGGTCCCATCAGCCAGGGTATCATAAACCCTAAAATTCTCGGTCACCAAATATGACCGCAGGTCTTCCAAGCCTGCCTGCCTGCCTGCTTGGCTGATGCCCTGGCAAGCCAATGGAAAATCAAACTTACATGTAAACAAACAGAAGCCAGTGAGTTTCCAGCTTAACACGAACACAGCGTCGGCCTGGCAGGGAAAACCACCCCCGCACCCCTGTGCGGAGGTGGTGGAGCCATTAAATGTTTGCACGTTCTCCCAAATAGAGCATTTCGGCAACAACCCATCGCTCATACGCAAAGACAAGATCTTTGCACAGAACTCATCTCGTTCGACCTGACGTGCTTAAACGTTGGTTTCTGCATTGACCATCATTGACTGAGTTGTGAACCATCGCAACGGGGTACATCCACCTCACTTGAGTAAACGTGTCTGAAAATATTCCAGTGCAAACGAATAGAACAAACGGAAGAGCACTGTCCCATGCACGGCGTCCAGTTGGTTGAAACCTTTTTCATCACTGGGGATGGCTGTCATTGCGGGAGTGCTTCTCGGAGTGCACCGGCAGTTGGCCATCCTTACAAAGCAATCTGACTAATAGACTAAGAGTGCTCAAAAACGATCACATAGAAAACCTTGGCCCGTATGTCACAATGGTTCAAAAATATAAATGAGCCTCGGTACTCTTTTGGCTGCTGTTATGTTTTCATTGAAGCGCGAGCATTGGACGTTCCAGCAATGGCGCTCCCAATTCCACCACCACCTCAAGAATAATGATATATCTGTGGGACAACAACAGTCAAAGCCTGAGAGACAGACTGTTCACCGCGCCACATTGTGTAAATAGGAGTTCCTCTGGGCACCCTGGCATGCCATGGTGCATAATAAAAGGATCAACTTAGCTGCTAGAAAGTCTCACGCCTGATGATTTGGTTGATTCCCACACAGCGCACATTTGCCAATTGCGCTGACGAAGAGTCGGGCTCCATCAGCGGCTTACTCCAAGCGAGTCTTGGGATGTCTTGGGTGTATGTTTTGTATATATATATAATATCATTCAAAGATTCGATTGTACAATTGGCCTGAGCCAAACTGTCACTGGAAAAGAAAAAGCCAGCACTTAACAGCAGCTGAACAAAAAACATAAGTGGCACGTTCAATAAAGAGACCTGCTTGGGGCCACGGCTTCGAAAAGGCGAGATCCAGACCACCGATGCCAGTGAACAAAGAAATGACGGGCGTTTTCCCTGCCTGCCAGAAAATGTACATACGCGAAAACACATGTTCGAAATCGACAGCCTCTCCACCCATTGCGTGCGGAAACATCTTCTTGAAGGTATTTGTGCGTACGCAATTTGCCACAGGCTTCGTCCAATTCAATGGTAATCCTGCATTGGTCCGAAATCCTTTCTATTTGTTAACGTGACTGTTAACGTGCTTTCTGATGTCCTGAGAACCACTCTGCACATTGGGGGGACAGGTATCTCCCAAGCCGCTTGGCTCCGAAACCCAGGTTCTTCATGCGCTGCCGGTACATGCTGGAGTGCCGTACTTGATTTGCAAGGTCCTAGCCAGTAAAGAATGCAATTTCCAAGGTTGCCATGACAAAAACTGTGGCTCCGGGCGCTCAGACCTCTCTTGGATGGACTGACGGTCGCCGTCCAGGTTGCGGAGAAACATCCTCAAAACAAACGCTTGTCCAAAACTTGCCATAGGAATAATGACAAAGGTTTGGACGAATTGTGGACCAAGCTCTGAAAACACGGCGGTCACCACCTTTGGCCTCAAAAACATTGAATGAATATCAAACCATTCATGATCCATGAATTGAATATCGGTTGTCAATCAATTCAATCTGTGGCCCACACAACCTTCAAACCCAAAGGTTTGCACTTCTTCAAGGCAAACTTGACCGTCTTCAGCGAAATTGCATCACTGCAAGAAACAAACTTCGGCAACGGTCGCCCTTGAAACTGACGAATTGTCCGGATACAATCTTTGCCAGCTGTCCGCTTCAAGTGTTGTTTCTGCACCTGCAAAACGCCAACCAACTAAACCCAAATTTAAATTCTAAGTGCAACCATGATGGGCCTTCGGCTTGGATTTCATAGCCTTCTGACAACCTCCT